CTATAACACTGTTGATTATTCCGTTTTATATGAATTCCATGTTGTACGAGTCACTTAGATTTTACAAATACGTGTGCTGGGCTGTGAACGGTTCACGTATTTGTAAAATCTAAGTGACTCGTACAACATGGAATTCATATAAAATGGAATTATCAACAGTGTTATAGATGGGTCGACTGTATATAGATATCACGTATAGACACACAAATACTATACATTCAACATTTCCTCTTAAAATGCATCCAAAATTAACCTCCAAATAACGGCCACCCCTTCGAATAACATCCATCTTTAACGTTTTTATTACTGGTCGTTGTTGAGAGGTTTTACTATCTATCGACGATACACAATATCTTACAGAAATATATTAAATTACACTTGAAAATATTATTATATTTGTCTTGGTGTAGATTTATTGTTAAAAGTTGAAGAGAATTTTTGTTCGATATGAAAACTTTAAAGAAAAAAAAATATATTACTTTTTAAATTGTGAACAATAGTAGAAGTTTGAATGAGGCCAAGTGCTGCAATGTGGTTATTACCTAGAAGCCATAAGTTGTTAAATAAAAACAGTAAAGATCATATTATAGGATATTAGATATAGAGTACGACGATAGATTAGTTATATATATATATATATATCTTTTCTAAAACACGAAAAAAACACTTCAAACTATTATATATACGATTATTATTTTAAATATTTATTTAATTTACAGGTGTTTCCGTATCAGTCAGTGTTTGGACTTTAGTAGTGATTTCTTTGGAGAGATATTTCGCTATTTGCAGACCCCTTCATTCCAGAAGATGGCAAACTGTCTCTCATGCCTACAGAATGATTGCTGCTACTTGGGTTGGGTCTTTAATCACTATGATTCCTATTGCATGTTTCAGCAAACTGACACCGACTAGATACCCAGGTTTGTTTTTTTTATTAATTAAAGCTATAATTTGCTTTGTTAGATGATAATTGATTACTACAGAATCGTAAAATATATATATATATGAATTTTTGTATATGGATGTTACTGTGTGTGGGGGGGGTACGATTTTGTTCGCCTTGTTTAAAGCTTAATAACTTCTATACTTTTTGTCGAAAATTTGTGAAATTTTGCAGGGAGATTTTTGTATTAGATACATTGATGGCATTAAATTTTGGTAGTTAAAGGTCGAAGGGGTGAGGAGATATAAGCGGAGTCACTNGGGTCGGTACAGGGATACTGAAAAAGGTGTAGCGCAGGTCAAAGAGAATCATATTTAAAAGACCAAAGGAGAGAGCATATTTTAGGAGCTCTTTCTATGGGATATTAGGCACTATTTACGTGTTAACCACGTAAAGTTTTCCAGGTTTATTCACGTGTTTAATCATCAACAATCGGTTTACCGTAGAAAATCCTTTCAGGAGGGATGAACAGATCTGTCAGGTGTTGCGTGTATTATCCCATAACTTTATTCCTTTTATTTTATATTTTTACTAATAACAATTTGTTAACATTTTTACTCTTTAATACATTCGTTTAAAATTTATTTATTATCCCATTTCCCCCCTGAAAATGCGACTTTTAAAAGAAAGTTCTTAAATTCTATCATCGATAATATTCACTGATTAAAAGTCTTTCATTGTTGACGAATTAAACTATCAAGTTTTAGATAAAAAAAAAACTTTTTCTTATATATTTTTAATTATAAAAATTCAAATTTCAGAAATCTTAGATCAAGTGGAAGATGATTCTGTATAGAATTGGAAGGTGTTAATTTCCAAAAAGGGAAGCGGTTGGTTTCTCTATACCAAAGACAGCATTAGAAAGGCATCGACAGCTGTTGCATAAGGTCAATGTTTCCTCCTCAATACTCCTCATGTGTCACGTCTCGTCAGCTTTAACATCCTAACATCGTCTTTGATATTACTGAATTTATAACAGCGTATTATTTAAAAATATATTTATAAATTCCCATCTTATTAAATATATTATCCATAGACGTTCAGTATTTTTTTCCTCCGCACAATATTTAACAATATTTTCATTCTTATAATTTATTAAACGAGTCCTCAAATTGTTTTTTTTTTTAATTATTATTATTATTAAATTTAATTCTTTATATTATTATTTTTCATATTAATTATATTTTACTAATTATATATTATAAACTAATCCATTTATTAATTAATATTAACGAAAAATTATTAAAAATTTTTACGTAAATAGATGTTGTTGTTCGATAGTTATTGAATGAAGCAGGAACTTATTGTATACTGTAAAATAAAATTTAAATATGTTCTTGTTTTTCTGTTTATATTGCTGTATAAATTAAATTAAAATTCAGTATTAAGTATTAAAAAATATATATATTGTTGTCGTTATTTAATTAATAAATGCCATACACTTAAACTGAGAGTTGCAGGGTGATTCGAATGTCTCCATACAAAACCGACACATTATTAAATATTAACGATAGATTATAATTTTTGTAAATATCTTATACATTAATGAGAACAGTTTATGTTAACGTAGATAAGTTTTATATATCCGTATTAGTATAAACTGTAGGGATCATCGCTCTAAGGAGATACAAGGTAGGTTAATTAGACAAGCGGAAAACTGCCATTAAAATTCAGAAAGACGAGCAATATCATAGCAATTTTGACGCTTAAAACAGCCAACTCAGAGATAATAGTAACAGTGCTGGCAACACTTTACGCGCGAGAACGTTAAATCGAGAAAATGGTGGCGCCTTTCCCAACAGGACACAACAGAAAGCAGCGTAGTGTTATCCGATTTGTTAAAAGCGACGATCCAAAATCAATGGACATTCATCGACACTTGCAGATACAACAGCATGAATTGTATCCTGGAGTAGGAGTAGAGTTCTGGCTTCAAAAAGGCAAAAGTTCTGTGGATCCCATTGGACGGGAACCACTAAGATTCATAGAACTGAGTCGCAGTGAATTCCATCTGTGGCCACATTTTTCATGCAATTCACTGCGATTCCAGCCGTATTCCAGTAAGCTAATACTTTTGCTGCAAACAACTAAGACTTCCTAGGAATGTCTCTATTACATTTCCATACTCCTTAGCCTGCCCAATTTCCAGTATTTGTGAACCGGATGGGATGCCAACTTCCATCATCTACGATTATGAGGAATGTGGAACGGCTGTTGCAAAATTATTATTACAATATTCAGCTAAAAACTGTAAATATGTAAAAAAAAAGAGTAATAATAAGTAGATACAATAAAGAATTTTACAGGATATTCGGATTGTTCATATATATATTATTTGAAGAAGATAACATTTAAATCAGCTGACTGACTTTTCTAAAAGTAAAAAAATAGCCAAAGGCAGTTTTATATTTATCTTTAAAATAAAAATCCAGAATTCTTATGATATCCTGATCATCCACTCTTNTATTAAGTATTAAAAAATATATATATTGTTGTCGTTATTTAATTAATAAATGCCATACACTTAAACTGAGAGTTGCAGGGTGATTCGAATGTCTCCATACAAAACCGACACGTTATTAAATATTAACGATAGATTATAATTTTTGTAAATAACTTATACATTAATGAGAACAGTTTATGTTAACGTAGATAAGTTTTATATATCCGTATTAGTATAAACTGTAGGGATCATCGCTCTAAGGAGATACAAGGTAGGTTAATTAGACAAGCGGAAAACTGCCATTAAAATTCAGAAAGACGAGCAATATCATAGCAATTTTGACGCTTAAAACAGCCAACTCAGAGATAATAGTAACAGTGCTGGCAACACTTTACGCACGAGAACGTTAAATCGAGAAAATGGTGGCGCCTTTCCCAACAGGACACAACAGAAAGCAGCGTAGTGTTATCCGATTTGTTAAAAGCGACGATCCAAAATCAATGGACATTCATCGACACATGCAGATACAACAGCATGAGTTGCATCCTGGAGTAGGAGTAGAGTTCTGGCTTCAAAAAGGCAAAAGTTCTGTGGATCCCATTGGACGGGAACCACTAAGATTCATAGAACTGAGTCGCAGTGAATTCCATCTGTGGCCACATTTTTCATGCAATTCACTGCGATTCCAGCCGTATTCCAGTAAGCTAATACTTTTGCTGCAAACAACTAAGACTTCCTAGGAATGTCTCTATTACATTTCCATACTTCTTAGCCTGCCCAATTTCCAGTATTTGTGAACCGGATGGGATGCCAACTTCCATCATCTACGATTATGAGGAATGTGGAACGGCTGTTGCAAAATTATTATTACAATATTCAGCTAAAAACTGTAAATATGTAAAAAAAAAGAGTAATAATAAGTAGATACAATAAAGAATTTTACAGGATATTCGGATTGTTCATATATATATTATTTGAAGAAGATAACATTTAAATCAGTTGACTGACTTTTCTAAAAGTAAAAAAATAGCCAAAGGCAGTTTTATATTTATCTTTAAAATAAAAATCCAGAATTCTTATGATATCCTGATCATTCACTCTTTCAGAAAATTTAAGGTGACGAAGTGTCGATGATCCCATTCAAAACTTAGGAGTGAGACACTGACATAAGAATAAAAACGATCGGAAAGGTGAAAATAACTGGATAAAATCGGAGTAAATCTTGTTCTATGCAGTTATGAGATATCTACCAATATGAATATTCATTTGAATATTTCGATTTTTATTTATATTTTACCAAAACATCGCAGGTTCTGATAGAGCTAACAGGGCTATTGATTGTTTATCTGTCGATGGGGGGACTTTCTATGAAAACTAGACCCTATTTAGGTGTTACTAACGTGAAGAAAACATGGGAAATTCGTTAGGGAGGTGCGAACCCACGACCAACTACCAGCGTGTAGTTGTTTTATCCATTTAGTTAGTTAAAAACAAAAAATGATGATTTATAAATATATTAAAAGACAATTAGAAATTCGAGAAATTATTTTCCATAACTTGTCAGATTTTTCTAAACTAAGAATCTTTATTACTTTCAAAGAAAATTTCCAAGTAACAAATTCAATATATCAAAACTTTTTATTAAAATTCCCCGAATTTTAGTAAAATATCGATCAATTTTGGTTCTTTTCTTGAAAAAAATGAAAACATTTTATCATATTTTACTCATATGAAAAGTCAAAAGAGACTTTTTAAATCTGTTTTAAAATTTATATTATTCCATATATATTTTATATAACCTTTCTCTTAAGAAAAACGAATTAATAATTTAAAGTTTACTTGAGATTAAATCACGACAATAGTTAATTAATTAACTATAATTATCGATAATACTGTTTATATATATTATATTAAGAAGAACTAAAACCTAATTCACTAACTATAAGAACGTCTTTTATACAAGTCGACCCCCCTATAATACTGTTGATAATTCCGTTTTATGTGAATTCCATGTTGTACGAGTCACTTAGATTTTACAAATACGTGAGCCGTTCACAGCCCGACACATGTATTTGTAAAATCTAAGTGACTCGTACAACATGGAATTCATATAAAACGGAATTATCAACAGTGTTATAGGGAGTCGGTACAGGGATACTGAAAAAGGTGTAGCGCAGGTCAAAGAGAATCATATTTAAAAGACCAAAGGAGAGAGCATATTTTAGGAGCTCTTTCTATGGGATATTAGGCACTATTTACGTGTTAACCACGTAAAGTTTTCCAGGTTTATTCACGTGTTTAATCATCAACAATCGGTTTACCGTAGAAAATCCTTTCAGGAGGGATGAACAGATCTGTCAGGTGTTGCGTGTATTATCCCATAACTTTATTCCTTTTATTTTATATTTTTACTAATAACAATTTATTAACATTTTTACTCTTTAATACATTCGTTTAAAATTTATTTATTATCCCATTTCCCCCCTGAAAATGCGACTTTTAAGGGAAAGTTCTTAAATTCTATCATCGATAATATTCACTGATTAAAAGTGAATTTATATAAAACAATTTAACAAAATCTTGAATATTTATTTTCTATATTTTTATTTAAACTATTTGTCTGGTTATTCAACAATTTTTCTTTTTTTTTTGAAATAATTTCTACAGAATTCCAATAGTTTGAAGTCTGTTAACATCGAGTGATCAATTTTCAATTTCAGATTTCAATTGGTTACTGTATAAACGGCCGAATGATTACATAGAAAGAATTTCTACGAAATAGAAATTATATGAATAAAAATTGACAAAAACGTCAGAATTTTGAGAATTTAGAAAATATTTAATCGAAAAATTTGCATTTATATAACATTTCTAACAAAATTTCCTACGTATAAAAATATACGGTTACTTCATCTGCATTTTATCAAGTAAAAAAAATTAAAAATATCACTAAAAACAGGCCCACCTTCGGAGGAGGGAATAAGAACACAAAACACTAGTATTTGGTTGTGGGTTCGCACTTCACCTAAGCTGGCCACGTTAAGTTTTCCGGGTTTTCTTCACGTTTGTAACCCCCTAAATAAGGTCCTCCCGGACATCCTCCATGTTACATCCTCCCGGAGTGGATCCCCCTTCAGCAGAACTCCTAATACGAATAGAAACAGATATTTTATTGATTACACACTGTTTATTTTAATTAATAATTCTGTAAATTCTTAAAAAAGTTAGACTAATCTTTCATAGACTAGTTTATGTATAAGAATTTTTAAATTAAATATTTATATATTTGTTACGGGTTTAAATATTGGACATTTATAATGTTTAACGATTGAAAGAAACAATAAATCGATTCAGATGCTGTTGCGTGTGAAAAATAGATAGGAGGAAAAACGCAATATTCAATCGATATTTTCAGTTTTTAATGTAAAAGAATGTTCAAAAACTGTTTAAAAAATAATTCTTATGTATGCTTTAATAAAATTTATTTTTTAAGTTGTTATAAAATAACGAAAGCATTCAAGACATCGAAGAATGAGCCAATCAGTGGCAAAGTGCAGGAATGTAGAAAACAAACGATGGAGTCATGCCAGACATCTATCTTACTCCATTCTCGGAATTAACGAACGAAGGCAGACAAAACTCAGATGACAATAGGA